AGAGTTCCTTTTTCTCCGCAACCTCGCCAGCATTTATCGTTCAGAGTCTTTTGGATTTTAGCCATCCTAACTGGGGTGAGATGGTATCTCAGTGTAGTTTTGATTTGCATTTCCCGGATGCTGAGTGATGTTGAGCATCAAATGGGAATTTAAAATAAGTATGACTAATATACTGAGGGTTCTAATGGGAAAAGTAGACAACATAAAAGAACAGATGGGTAATATAAGCAGAGAGATGGAAACATTGAGAAAGAATCAAAAGGAAATGCTAGAAATTAAAAACTCTATAACAGAAATGAAGAATGCCTTTGATGGCTCATTAGTAGACTGAGCCAGACTGAGAAAGGATCAGTGAGCTTGGAGATATGTCCATGGAAATTTCCCAAACTGGAAAGCAAAGAGAAAAGAGAATGGAAGAAAAGAAAACAGAATGTCCAGTGACTGCGGGACAATTGCAAAAGGTATAAATATGCATAATGGGAATGCCAAAGGGAGAAGAGAGAGAGAAAAGGACAAAAGAAATATTTGAAATAATAATGGCTGAGAATGTTTTGAAATTAATGACAAACACCAAACCACAGATCCAGGAAGCCCAGAAAATGCCAAGCAGGTTAAATACAAAAAATTTTACACCCTGACATATCATATATATAACTGCATATAACCAAAGACAAACAGAACATCTTAAAAGAAGCCAGGGAGTGAGGGGGTTGGGAATCACATAACCTATAGAGAAACAAGGATAAGACTCACATCAGACTTCTCTTCAGAAACCATGTAAGCAAGAAAAGAATGGAGTGAAATATTTAAAGTGTTGAAGAAAAAAATCCACCAGCCTAGAGTTTCATAGTCAATGAAATTACTTTCAAAGGTGAAGGAGAAATACAGACTTCCCCGGAAAAAAAAATTTTTTTTTTGACCGGCAAGGGGATCGCAACCCCCGGCACAGTGTTGTCTGCACCACGCTCAGCCAGCGAGTGCACCACCCATCCCCATATAGGATCCAAACCCGCAGCCTCGGCACTATCAGCACCACACTTTCCCGAGTGAGCCACGGGGCCAGCCCAAAAAAAATTTTTTTAAAGAAATTTGTTGCCAGTAGACCTATAAGAAAATGTTAAAAGAAGTTCTTCAGAGAGACAGAAAATGATATGAATGAGAAACTTGAATCTACATAAAGAAAGAGCATTAGAAAAGGAATAAATGAAGGTAAAATACAATGTTTTGTTTTTCTTATTCTTAATTCATTTAACAGATCACTGTTCACATAATAATAGCAACA